AGAGAGCAATGATGACGTGAACGTGAGATGAAAAGGAGAAACCCTCGCCTCGGCGCGGCGGTTGGCATGTAACACATATTAGCGCCTACAAGACTGCATGAATACTTCACGCATTGCGCCAAAAACAGTGCGGTCGCTGCGGTCAGCAGCGAGCAGCGTGAGACGCATAGCGCCTACAAGACCGCATGAATACTTCACACATTGCGTCAAACACAGTGCGTGATGCAGCGCAGCGGTCGGCCCGAAACGCATAGCGCATGTAATAAGACTGTAGGAATACTTCAAGCACGCATTGCGTCAAACACAGTGCGGTCAGCGCGGCGCGGCGCGGCGGTAGAAGTTAAAATTATTAAACCACATTTATGTTTGTTCTTTCATAATTTTTTGGTTCATCTCTTATAAATGGAGGGCCTTGTCCATACAGACATAGGTTTACGGAACTTAACTTTCGCGCCAAGTTCCGTGAACTTTTGCTGGTAGTGTTGACGGGGCTATCGCAAAAAATGTGACCAACACGAGTAAACGCGTCTTGTACGCCTCTTTCCCTCCGGCACGCTCACTTGATGGTTTTTATTGATGTTTCAAAACGAATGAGAAGGGGGCGGCAAAATACAGGCGGCCCATAAGCGGCAAGTAACTAAGTAAGTAAATCCGGCCCTGCAGACAAGATAAAAATTGGTGCACCACGTGATGTTTCCCCATCAACTTGTTACGGAAAACCCGTTAAGCATGATGAGATACCCCTAAATTAACTCATTTGTAATAAATTAGAGGTTAGATTTTTAAAATTTAAACTTGCCTCCCTCGAAAACTGATCTTTCATTTGTGTAGCAGCATTAATATTGAGTAGAATAACATCCTAATTTGGAAAGATTCATTAAAAAGTCATATCGACATTTATCATAATAGACGTCGCCGATCAACTGAATCGATAAGAGAGAGCTGGCATCATCATATCTCTCCTTAATGAATGGGAGACGTCCGGAGGATTGCGATCAGTGGCGTGGCGTGAATTGCGATATATCGATTGGTATGCCATTTAAACCTATGGAAAAAGATCGATTATCAGGGCGTTCGCAGCGAACACCTTGGTAATCGATTCTTTACTATAGCTTCAAATGGCGATATATCGATAATCGATCCTTCACGCCACGCCACCGATTCCGATGTACATTTTCAACGAATTTTCAAAACTTTGATACCATTCTACTCTTTATTAAAGCTATGCTACACGTTATGGATCAGTTTCTTGCACCACCTCATATATATTACAATACTTTTTGTCTCTCAAAGACACAGACCGTGTCACAGCGCAAGGCTGTGGCAGATATCGTTCCTCCATCTTTTACAATCACCTTAAGTTAGTAATCAACTATATGGACCGTGTTTTGCAATAAGGAACTACAATTCTGGCTCATTCATAAAAGCACCTATCTACATAGGGAAACTTTTTTTTTCTTTTTTTATTTTATTACATACCGACTTCTTTAAACAGAAATATGATACATTGTTATAGCATTAATTAGTAATTAGCTTTTATCGACTAAAAATATTTACAATTGTACAGTCTTTTTTTTCTAAATTGGATGCCCTGGGACGAGCATCGCCGAGCCTATAGGGAACGGTACAGTTCCCGGTCTCTGCGGTGTCCGACCCCGGACAACCGGAACGACCCCGGACAACCGGAATGGGAAACTAACGGCACATATGTCGCTCCTAAAATAGATCAGAAAAAATATTAGTTCCTCATTGCAAAATGTAGTCCGTTATTGACTCTCTTTCCATACTTCGATGGGCTTTTTGCAAAGTGCGGGGATTACGATGGCTAATTGCACGAAAAGATCGATGGTGCCAAAACAAAATCTTGAAATCACCTCTCAAACTCAAAAAAAATTGTGTTGAAGGAATTGAACCATACAAGACAGTCGTTTCAACTCGGGAACAGACCCGGTACACCAGTGACGTCACGGTTCATGACAAACCAGGTCTCTTCATCAAGCGGTTGCCAAATCCTCGTGCGGAAAGTATACATCGTATACGATGAAGAGGCCAGGTTTGTCATGTACTGTGACGTCACGAATGTATCGGATCCGTTTCCGCGTAAAAAAGACCGCTTCGAAAATACGAATTCTGGGGCGGTTTTAAAAGTTGGTTTTTGGGGGTTTCCGGTGGTAAAAAAAAAAAAAAAACGCCGGGAAAATTCCTGTGACATCAGGATCCTTAGTGTTTTCGATACAAGCAATAAAAAAAATCGTGCAAGAGGCCCAAGACGTCATTTTGAGAGCATCTATTTTGCCTGAAAGTACACGGAAAAAAGATCGGTACAATTTATCATTCCTTCACGCTGTGCTTCACACAGCGTCAATTCAGAGTCAATTCTTCCAGAAGAAAGGTAAACGTTACTATACACTGGTACAGGTAACCATTCCTCTGGTAGAATCGACTTGAAGATTGATAGCATTTACCACTCCTTCACGCTGTGCGAAACACAGCGTGAAGGAATGGTAAATTCTACCAACCTTTTTTCAGTGTAAGGAGGAAGGATGAACGGACACTAAACGGATGTGAGGAGGACATAAAATGCGAGTCCTTTGACACTGACCTAGAAAAGCGTATCATCTTAGTGACTAATTAAAAGCTCCCACACTCGGATCTCTTCTACGTACGAGAATACGAGGTACGATGGATCTCAAAACATCCTCCTTCCTCCCTCCCCCCCACTTCTTTCCGTCTAATTATTCCTCCATCAATTGAATATAGGTCGACGCTCTCAGCTCTCCACTGTCTCTGTCTTACCTAACGGCGTATCTTAATTTCCAAGTGAGCCCTGGTAAGCGTAGAGTTTAATGAGGAAAAGAGCTCATGTGGGAATAGAGATACGCCTTTATGTCTGAGGGGCGACGTTTCGCTCTCACACGTGCGTTTCCTGGACCGCCCTGGATATCCTCTGACTTTTTCTGAGAGTCCCCCAACTTTTCCTGAGAATTCCCCAACTTTTCTTGAGAAACCCCCGACAATTCCAGGTCTCCATAAAATCCCTGACTTGTCAGGTTTTCTAGACCGCTAGGAACCCCGATTTCTCGAGGGAAAATCCAGGATTCCAGCCAGGGCCGGATTTACATTTTTAGCGCCCTAGGCTAAACTTAGGGTGGCGCCCCTAAAAATAGGCGCTCTTGTGGGGGGGGGCGCTCCTCCCCTCCAGATCAGAGGGAGGATGTTAGGTGTCCGGAAAATGTTCAAATTCACCTTTAAAAAAGCACGATTTTAAACAGTTTTGAGATACGTTTACGTTTGCAAGTTGGTTTTGGGAAATACGTTTTTGAATAAATTTTCAAAAATTGTGCGCCCCTCAGAATGTTGCGCCCTAGGCTATAGCCTATGTAGCCTATTGGTAAATCCGGCCCTGATTCCAGCCGCGGCGGCCACGCGAGCAAAGCGCGAACAGCAAGCCCAGGTGAGGCAAGAGATGAGAAGCGAATGGGGCACGATGGCGAAAGGAGTAATTCCATTTCCGCTCACCAGAGCGAAGCACTTATCGACTCGCGGCGTCGCGGTGCGCCACCATCCTCAGTTTCAAAATGACGCATCCCAACGAATAGCATCTGCCCTCCGCGATGATGATATACCTACTCGCTGTTTCCCGAGTCCGTCCCGCCCCAATACCCCTCCCCCTCCCCATCCCCCTCCAGCAGGATCCGCGGTGTGCCCCTGCACTATAGGCAAAGTCGTCGCTTTCTTGTTTTAATCACCCCCCGCTCGACTTGCCGCGCCTCGGGGTGGCGGTAATGTCAACGTCAACGCCCGGGCTGCCGTGCTAAGGAAAAACGCCGTATGAACATTCGCGAGTTGCCAAATTTCCTCGGATAAAACATGTATTTTTGAACGAATTTTTGCATATATTCCCCTTAAAATTTTCAGATATTTTAGATTGAATTGCGAACAAAATATTCTAAAAAATTGGAAGAAAAATATTTACAATTTCCCAAATAAAATCGTACCTCATCAGAGGAACTTTGGCAACGCCTGGGTGTTCATGCGGCGTTTTTCCTTAGCACGGCAGCGGGCTCGAGATGATCTTTTCCTGCCACGATTCGGGCCAAAAATAACTGCTTTGCCGACACATTGTCACCCTCCGGCCAAAGTGTCACAAGCGCCTTGCGACATTTCAACATTTCCGCATTTTGTTTTTTTACAGAGAAACTGTTCAAAAAGCTGACCGAAAATTTCACTGAATTTTCTTTGTGCTGCCGATAAAATTCAGTGAAATTTTCCAATAGATTCAACCAACCATTTCTCTGCAAAAAAAAAGAAAAAGAAAATGGCGGCAGAAATTTTGAAACGTCGCATGTCGCTACTTCAGCCGGAAGGTGACGACATGCGAAGTACGGGAATTTCTGAACTATTTCGCCACAAATTGTCTCTCCTCTTTGGATCAATCTTCTCTAATAAAAATATTTTCGTTTTGGCGTTATTTTTGGTTCATATTGGAAGTGGAACGCAAACCAACGTAAATTTTGCGTTGATTTTGGTACAGTTTGCAGTGAGTTTACCGCAGAAAACTGAGGAGGGACCGGGAAAATGCATCAATTGCGACGGCGGTATTCACCGCTCGTTTTTTATTAAATATCCTCAAGAAAACTAGCTGGCATTTTCTCTTGAAATTGTCGACCGAAGACTAGGATTATTTTGTGTTTTACTTCCCGGATTAACCAAACTTTAGTGTTAAAATTTCTCTCTGTGTTACTTTGTTATAAACTCGTTAGAGAACGATCCAGCGTGGCCACGATCTGGAAACTTACTGAAATGAGTCGAGATTCCAATAGGCCATGCCCTACTTTTAAGAACGAAAAGATAATCCAAGCGCCTTCTTTCGTTTTCTATGTTTCATGAGTTCTTCGTCCTGAAATCCTTACGTACAATTTTTACGACATTTATATAACTGGTTATCCGTTCGTTACTAATTTGCGTGTTGATTCATCACTTCTTTTAAAACATTTCAGGCCGAAGAGCAATTATTAGGCAAGAAGAGGAAGAGTAGGTGAAAGCGGAGAGGAACTTGGAAGATACCTTGACAAAATGAAAACTGACAAAAGTTGCGTCGCTTTAGTTTTCATTCTGAAAATTGCTTACGGATATGGATACAGTCATCAGTACGTGAGCGATAATAACTACTGTCCGAGTGTCAGAGGACAAAAGTATCTCGATCTGCAAATGGTAAGACATACATCAGAGAAGTTTCTTTTATTTTCACCACATTTTCGCAACGAGTAGTGTGCTTTTATATATAGAAAAAGTATAGACACAAGCGGCTGATATTGGAATATATTTACAACGTGATGGACAAGATGACAAAGGTAAAATGGAGCGATTCTATTGGTGAAGCGGGTGGTTACAATGAATAAAGGCGGTAAGTACTCGTAATTGGACTAATTTTATAATGTGGAATTACAATATCTGGCTTGGGTTTGGAAAGACGTACACTGAAAAAAACGAATCTTAAATTTGCCGCCAAGAAGTATTTTTTCTTAAATCAAGAATTTTGCTGTTTAATAGAAACGACTTTTTCGCTTAACCCAAGTATTATTTTTTTTTATCCAGAAAAATTCAGCTTAAATCAAGATAAAAAAAATTCGTAGCGGCAAATTCAAGAAATATCAGGCTTGAGCCAAGCACCTTTTTTTCATTGTAAGTGGTATTGGTTTTCCCATGTACGTGAATGTTTTTACTCATGGGCTAGAAATTGTAGTTCCTAGTTGCGAAATGCAGTCCAATCATAGACTGACTAACGGCGACCCATGAAAGACGTATAGTTAGCTCATTGGTTTCCTCCACAGTCTATAGCAACCGCCCGTTCCAACTAATAGGATCGCTCCGTTTTCACTTTGTCTCCTGTTGTCTATTAATTTCAATCATCAGCTTGCTGAAAGCTTGCCACGAAGACCCTTAAGACAAGTGTCCCAAGAGTTTGGATACAGACCGGTACCGGCCAGTGGCATGGCGTGCTTTGCGATGCATCGATTTTTATGCCATTTAAACCTATGGGAAAGGATCGATAAACAGGGTGTTCGCAGCGAACACCTTAATAATCGATTCTTTACAATAGGTTTTAATGGCAGAACAATCGATACATCGTAATTCAAGCCACGCCACTAGTGCTGCCCCTATCCGGATTGGTATTTAATCCTGTGATGGTAAGGCTGGACATGAGTCGGACCACATTTTGAAATATGGAACTTCTATATTTCCAGCTCAGTGTAGAAATGATGTTTATGCCATTGGAGTACCTACGCAGATGAGTGCGTTTATCTGTGAGCTATAGAAACTGAAGTTCCTAATTGCAGAATGCAGTCCTATTGAAAATCTACGTGGCGTGGTCCCATTTTTAAAGAACATATCTTTGAGTCGTTTGTTTCGTGTAATGCGTAATACACAAACTTGATTTTTGGACTGGTTGTGAGTGAACACGCCAATTTGATCTAAATGAAGTTCGAAATGATACTAGCAAATGATTAATCATTTTTTGCCGAAAATCTTCATACGAAAACCGCCATTGTTCCGTTTCAAGAGTTTTACAAGGCACAAGATGACGGGTTTATGTCAATGGATAAGATGCGCCGGTTACAGAAGCGTGTTTTGGTGCTTGACTCTTGTACATCAGCGAAAAATGATAAGATCTGTCCAAACAGCAACTTTACGTCCTATATTATTAACTGAGGTATCGCACATGAAAAATTCGGTACATGACGTCATCCACCGCGATATAATGACACCCTTATTTCTTCCACTTGGTTTCTTGGTCACTTCAACACAGAGATTGGTCAATTAGACACAGGGAAAACTATCTAAAAAAACAAAAAAAATTAACCAACAGATTGTGTTACTTCATGTTTTGCTCCCCATATTAACACAAAATTTTAGTTACTTTTCCTTACTGTGATGCGTAGGAAACTGATGGTGCATACGTTGTTTCGAAACTAAAAAAAATATTTTAGTTCCTAATTGCAAAATATGGTCGAATTATTCCGGCGAAAATACTCTCCCAATAAAGATACCGCAAAAACAACGAGCCCTCCTGTTCTAAAAAAATTTAAAAAAATGGCGTCTGAATTCTTTGTCGTAATCAATGCAAATTTCAACCCGTTGTTCTTCAACGAGAAAAAGGCAGAATCCCACGAGGCCAGGTCAAAGGATAGGCGAGCCACGGTTGCCAACCCACCGTGAAGAAATTAATAAACTCGAATAAGTTATTGGGCGCAGAACAGGGTTCCGTCATAAAATCTGGAACGGCCAGTCAGGGTGATGAAATACTGCATCAGCGAGCGAACCCTCAACGGGAGCCATGAGAGAGGGCTGCAAAGCACCCCCCTCCCCTTACCCCCCAATCCTCACTCTGGTTGCAACATGAGGCACGAATTACCGTGCGGCAATTGTTCCGTTTAGATTTCACGCTAATTTGAATAATTTATAATCTGTAAATTTAACTCTTGATCGCGCGGCGGCCAAAATGGACTGGTGGCGTGGCGTGCTTTGCGATATATCGATTCATCCGTCATTTAAACGTATGGAAGAGGATCGATTAGCAGCGTATAGCTTTATAATCGATTCTTTACCACAGCTTCAAACGGGGCGATATCGATAATCGATCACTCGCGCCCCGCCACTGAAATGGACGAGAGCGGCCAATTACCATTCCGCGGCGTAACGACGCCCGACACATGTATTATTATACACCTGCGCTGAACGCCCAGTGCTGCTACCGGTGGCCGGGTGATGTACTGCCGCGCTGAGCAACAACCACCTATGGCCGAGCCAACGTTGCGACATTTTTCCTCATCAAATGAGAATAGCGATGACCAAAATGCGGCAACACGTATTTTGGCTTTCGCTATTACGCTAAAAATTGGTCACCCTCCGTCGTAAAATTAGCTTTGAGGCATTCAAAATTCTTCTCGATCATAGTTTCCGAAAACGGGTGATGAACTTCATTAAGTGAGGGAATCAAAATAGCTCTCGAACTTTTGTCATGTGTTAAAATACCTGTACATATTTTTTTTTTTTTTTTTAAATCGGTAAAAAATTATTTTCTTCGAAATTTTTACCTTTATGGTAACATAGAGACGCTTTATCACCCCCCCCCTTCCTCATCCCCCATGGGTCTTTCTCTCAGAAGAGACACTACGGTCAATTTTTGGACGTGCACCCTTTTATTCGCTTGAAGCACCACTAACATTTTTGTCTATTCAAAATGATAATTGATTATTGGGGCACATCCGATTTTCGGCTTTGTTGTTCACGTAGCCATTGAAGCATAGAGAAAAAAAAGGAGGTGTTTGCATTTCGGGCATCTTGGAATTTTTTGATGACTTGATGACGTAGGTGGGTACAGCTTGAGTACAGCGGTACAGCGTGAAGAGGGGACGTCGCTGTACCCATCTACGTCATCAAGTCATCAAAAAATTCCAAGATGCCCGAAATGCAAACACCTCCTTTTTTTTCTCTATGCCATTGAAGCACGACTACAAATGAGACAAACGAAACAAGCACAAAATGGAAATAGAGCAAATGGAAAGACGGCGCAGAGACACAACTATTCGTGCTTTCTGGATGTCTGTGTTGCATCTGCAAAATTGAAGGCGTGATGGCGCGAGCTGTAAATTCGCGATGTTCCGCGCGCAGCTCCGATTCATGTTGCCAGTGCGGTGTCGTGACAAAAGTTAAGAAACGAGGCTCGATTATTACGGCTCTTCTATTTGAGGCTGTGTTGCTCATAGCATACATCCTTTTAAGCACCGCCTACAAATACAAATAAGACAAACTGAAACAAACACAGTATGGACATAGAGCAAGGTAAAAGGAGGCGCGTTGATGACGGCGCAGAGATACAACTATTCGTACATGATGGGTGTCCGTGCTGCATCTGCAAAATTGAAGGCGCGATAGCACTAGGTGTGAACTCACACTGCTCCGTTCTATGCTGCCAGTGAGGTGTTACTCAGATTCGGGAGACTTATAATTTAAAATACTAGGCCCGGTTACGTCTCGACTCTGTTGTTCCTTCATTTTTTCTTCTTTTTTCAATCTGAAGTTTGATTCTTTTTTTAATGCATTTACAAACCTACATCTACAGCTCGTATGTACCGCGATCCCTTACAACCCGCGCGGCACGTTTTATAAACAAGTCTCCACTCAATTTAACCGGACTGCAGCATCTAAGGGTTAATGAAAGTGTCATTAATATATAACTGAACCTTGTTCGCTAAAAACTCAGGATTCAAGAGGGGAGCCAAAAGAAACCATTCAATATCAGTCAGTTAATTTCAATAAAATTTAGTTATGTTTAATCTTGCAAAATTAGGCTCCAATTGCTTGTTTACGTCCCAAACCATTGTCATTCCCAACACCATGATTGTTGAATGGGACCTCCTGCAGCCTGATTTAGATCTCTGGTGCATTTAATATACATGTATTCCCATCTCTTTATACCTACATTTCTTACTGAACACCTAGTGCCTTCCAGATTGAATGTTTCATTTTTCGATGAGGTTAAAAAGATTTATTCGTCGTACGTATATTTTCGGGTTCATGATGCGGCAATGGATAGCCGAAAAACCAAGCGGGGACGCTACTTCAATATTAAACTTCCATCCCCTTGCAAAGGCGCAAGGATGCAACAATTTGAACTCTCCGGAACGCGTGAGGTATCACGCCTCAATTGAAGGCGTTTTCGAATCTCCTGTATTTACGTGACAAGGCTTTCACATTTTTTTGCATTATACTGTCGATTTGAGATCCTTTTATTATTTAGTAATATTATTCCTGCTTCTTAATTTTGAATTATTCTATAATAATTATCTTTTTCCGAAATACAATCCTGGCTTTAGCCCCCTTAAACTACGGCCTGAACAGTCGAAACTGCAGTAGCGGCACAGGAAAACCGAAAAACAACGCGGGGACGCTACTTCAATATGAAGCTTCCGTCGCCTTGCTAAGGCGCAGGGATACAACTATTTGAACTCTCCGGAACGCGTGAGGTATCACGCTTCAATTGAAGGCGTTTTCGAATCTTCTGTATTTACATGACGAGACTTTCCAAATTTTTTTTATTATATTGTCGATTTGAGAATTCAATGCGAGCTCTTATTTTCTCTTTGGTCTACTATGCCGTGATGAACACGGCTTCCTTGAATGTACGATTGGAAACTAAAGTTTGTGTTTCATGCTCTAGGTTCTGGGTCTATGGTACGCGATGGAGATAGTGGACCATTCGGGAGGCTACAGGAAGCCGTACGAGTCGCAAGTCTACTCGTACCAGATGCGGCACTCCCCGAAAACCTGCCCGGTCCTCCACTTCCAGTCCTCCTCCGACGACAGGGTCACCCTCATCTGGAGCGACAAAGACGACATCAACACCTACAACTTCATCATCCCCAACAAAAACCTCGAGCCCGGATTCTGGACCACTTTCGAATCAGACAGTAAGTTCAGTAGAGGTCAGTTAAATACAGATATCATACCGATTCCTGACTCCCTATCATTTTTCAAAGGGTATACTCTTAGATATTTGTAGAGTCCCTTTATACTGAGAGTCAAGACAACACCCCTCATGGAGTCACAAACGGGAATAAAGATTACACAAATTGAACGTTTTTCGTAATCTTTGATCATTCTTCGATCGGCTCATTCTTAAATTCCGTTCTCCGTTCCTTCTCTCATTCCGTTTGTTCCTTGTCGAACCCGAAATTCCTCGGTCCATTCCAGATTATAATCTTTGCAATTGGTGAAAATGTAATCTTTATTCCCGTTTGTGACACTGTGAAGGCCTAAAATCCGGTTAACCAATCAGAAATGGATTCGCATTGTCTTGACTCTCAGTATAAAGGAACTCTAGATATTTTTAGTGAAATTCTGTGCCGGCGCACAGTGGATCGAGTCAATAGGAGAGGTCGGACAAAATTTGGAAACTTCAAACGCTTATAACTCAGTTTATACAAGACCTTGAGGTTCTGAAAGTGGTTCCATTGGTTTCCTCGCGAAAAGAAACACTCTTTCAAATTAAAAATGTGACGAAATAAACATCAAAATTTGCAGTTCTAGCAGAAAATTTCATGTCCGACCTCTCTAATTTATTTGATCCTCTGCACGGCGTCTATGTAGCGCCCAAAGCCCCGAGTGATATAAATGCGGAGCGGAATAAAGAAGGAGATTTAATTAAAATGTTGTTTACCCATATTTTAATTAAATCTCCTTCTTTATTCGTATATTCCGGCTATGTTTTTGTGCTTTATCGTTATCTACACTGGGTTACTTGCGAAGCGGAATCTATTATCCTTCCGAACACGGTTCGTTTGAGTAAAAGTTATATGAAATTGTCTATCACTCAAAAAGTCTTTTCGGATTCGAAAAGTAGAGTGAAAATGGAGTCTTTCTAGCTAAAAATGAAAATAGGTTGTTCGAGCTCCTGGAGAAATATATCGTTTTTTGTATTTTTTAGGGCTTATTAGAGGGTGATACGAAAATTGAATCAAATTTCGTGAATGTTTCTGTTTTAATTTCTAAACTAAGATAGCTATCAAAATGATCTTGGTTTCATTTTAAAGCTGGTGTAATTTGCCGTCGATTGAATGGTCTGAAAGCTAATTTTGTCAAAAATTGACGAAGTTATGATAGCTTGAATAAAGGGTATCCAAAATAAGCTTACTTGTTTTCCTTACCGAGTAAGGCTCTATTTTTTCTTTTTTTCCCTTCAAGACCAAAAACACTAGAGTCAATCTGTAAAAATT